AGGTCACTGCCATTAGGACTTAACGTCATCTATCTACTGAAGGCAAATCCAACGTAAAAATCGCGGATGTACTCTACTCCGTCAGTATAACATCGGACAGAACTGCGAAAACAACCAACCGCCCTTGCAATGACATCAGACGCATGCTACTTTTGGCCACTCGTCATCTAAACGTCACCGGATAGCCTCCAGCAAACGGGCCGAAATTAGCAGTAATCGCGAAAACTCCGTTAATAACGCATCCAATTCTCGACAGCGACGACAGTCGCCATGACCTCAGCTGTAGATTTGGCAAGATTTGGCAACTGGACCTCTAGGCTCTAAAGGTCCTCGTATAACATCGAGGAAATTAGGGACTAACATGTTGTCAGGCGTTACTCCATTTATAATGCACTAAATGTAAATCTTAAGACTTGCATGCGTTCGTCATGACGTGAGGCTTTTTTATTGCGCTATTTGCAATCGGGCATTTAAAGGTTACCATACAGCCTACAGGCAGTTAGGGGTCAAAACGCGGCCACACACCGCGCGGAAAGTAATGTATGGGATGCAAAATTGGATTCCATCGCGTGCTTGCCACAGCCTCAGTTAATTGCACTTTTGACACCTAATTCTAGAGGTCATCGTTTATTTTCCACGTACTTAAAGGGAGAGCGCGGTCACGCATTACTCCGTCAATAACGCAGGCAATCGACATTAAACGTACTTACCTGCTTGAAATCGTCTTATAATGCTTACTGTTACAGCATGAACCTCTAAAGGGTCACCGCTCGGCCCCCGGCATCGGGGGGCACAAAGGCATTGCTCCGCAAGCTAGCTGACCGCCAATGTCCCAGAGGTTCACCGTGACTTTTAAAGGCGATATTGCCGGTGAATGCGCTTACCTGAGGTGATTTGAGCACGTGCTCTTTCTGAATTTGGATTCGATGCATAAGTGACGGAATTATGCGTGATGACGTTTTCACCGCGCAACATCTGCAGGCTGTACTCTAAGGTGTCATGGTACAATTTTTTAGAATACGGGGAGCCGGTGATTACTAAAGTGCGCAATGACGAAAACGATGAGACAGTAAAGTAGTCTTTTCCTCGCAAATAAATGAACAGTTCAGCCTCCGCTAGCTGATTAATATTTTACTATTCCTTACACACCAGCGATGGTGCTGCCACCGTGCAACAAGAAGGAAATCTACCTGAAGCTGTGATAACGGTAATTTTCGCGCATTGCGCTATGCTGCAAGATGAAATCCGCAAGCATAATCTATAAATATCTTGTTTATTTTCGTTCAATGGTGCATTGCGTTGAATAGAAGATGACAACCAAAAACAGTACGCAATGGTGTCCATTTACATGATTGGGAACTTAGAGGATCTCTAAGTCGCTTCTTCTTCCATGCGTCACCAAAGCTGTAACCTAAATCTTTAGAATAGTTGGGGGGCGAGGGGGGGGGGGTGGCGGGGGCCCCTCAAGTAAACAAAATGACAGCCATGACACCAAGCGCTCGTACAATGCTGCATCACACCAAACATGATAGTTTCGTAACAAAACTTGCGTTTTACACGCCACGAAATCTCCTCGGTATGTTAAGATCCAGGCGCCTTCACTATTGGGAACACGTTCGAGGACCGGACGAAGATCACGCCGTGCCGTTGGCATCCTGCGTAAATTGCGTGGAGTAGCTGTAAATAAGGGTAAGGTTCGGCAATCCTAACGGTTCAGATTCACTCCCAATTTTCGATAGCCGCTGATCGGACTAGAGTCGTTCCGCTTTGATTCGGATCCGGAATAGATCTCACTTAACTAAAATTAAGCATGTTTGGGGTGTGTCTTAGCGCACGCGCTCCTGTTTGGAGCCCCTCTCCGTGCATGTCTTTCAGACAGGACATTTCGGGCCTTCATTGATAGTCCCTGGGTTCCCGTTCCATTGTGGGTGACCTCTCCGTACGCCGGCCCGTGATGTCTTTCAGACAGGACATTTCGGGCCCTTATTGATAGTCGCTGAGCTCCCGTCCCCGTGGCGGGTGAAAGGTCAGCTTCAATAGTGATGAGCTGATGTGATATCGGGTCATACAAGCTGATATGACGTAGGGCATGCGTCAACTTGAAACACGACATGGAGAACGTGCACGAGACGAGGTGGTCGTACGGCCCTGTCCCATAATTTATAAACGAAGAGTGCCAGAAATATGATTTAAATACTGAAAGGTAGAGACACTTCTCAGTCAGCTCACACACCGTATAGAAGGGGCGACTTCAGTCATGTGACGGATGCGACTACATGCACTGATGCCTTCCCTCTGCGGTCCCAGTCAAATGATACCGCAAGCCGCAGCCACGATGTACGACGGGCCGGATCTCGAGCATTTCGATCCCTCTTCAATTGCACATTTACAGCATCTAGACCTTGGTATTGCATACAAGACAACCCTGGGATTAGATGAGATATGCATACACATGTTTTTCCCTTTTTCGTTTGGACCATGTGTTTTCGTTGGCTATAAATTGATTCCATTCTACATACATTTTCATTAGTTTAAAGGAAATATATTGAAACGTCTAAGCGGCCCCACATTGCTGTTCTTACGAGTGCCGCATCTTATGCTCATTTGTACTGGTTTAGAAATCTATACTAGCATTGCCTAAGTAGCTCTTGCCCATTGGCATGGATATCAATACTGGTCCTCGTTACCTTTCTAGTTGATCGCTTGCTCCACTTTTCGATCTCTACGACCTATCTAAAGTTCGCAAGGCGTCAAAAGCATGCGATTCACACGAAAACAAAAACAAGGGGCATACACACCCTGTATGGTCTCAGGAAGTCCCTTACACATTGCATGGGTTTGAAATGTCACAAATGCACAGGGCGCTCAAACATTGGTGGAAATGATGCTTTGTGGTGGGGATGATACTTTGTGGTAAACGTGCCCGTTTTATAAGTTTCCGTCACTTTATCTTGTCCCTTGAAATGGCCGCGATTTACGTCGTTTGAGCTCGTGCGCAGCTTGCATTTTTTAAATGCGTTTGAGCGAAGTATATAAGTGGAAACTAGGCTCATGAACAAAATAATTACATTCTGTTCATGAGGAGCTTTAAGAGGGTGGAAATCTCCCACTCAAAGATAAAATACTGGCGGGTTAATTGTTTTTTTTGGATCAACAGCAATGCAATGTCTTAACCAATCAAAATTCACGGGTTCAAGTCTGTACCTTCCAATTCTCACCAAACTTTCTCATGCGGCCCACATCGAATCTGGTGGACTGGATCGATTAAGCCGCCCTGTGTTGTTTATCCCACAAACTGGCGTTTTCAACAGTGTTGGTAGTCATATGCGCAGGTATTTCACGTCGTCAGGCGCGACGCCAACATTTCAGTATCGACGGCCACAGCACACGAGCCCGAAGGTGCGGGCCCGAGAGGATCTGATGCGCTGGTAGTTGGTGTATTCGCATCTCTTCAGCAGTCGACTGTAAACGTGGTGAAGGCACACACAGACACCTATGGTTATGGCGGCAGGTCGTGCCGCGCCGTAATACACTCCGTCCTCGAGCTCACCTCCGGGGGCGACCAGCCGCCCCGCCCGCAACATCCTCAGCCTGTTCAGTCTGCCGATCGGAGGCGAGCCGCCACAGGCTGCGTCTGAGGTAACGTAATATCATGCGTTCCCGAGCAGCGGATGTCCAGACCGGCCGTCAACCACTCCACCGACACTGGTCAGCAGCACACACGCATTTCACAGCGCCGAGCCACAGACGAGGCCAACAACACAACGGTCGAGGTCGGAGTCACACTGACGGCCTCCTCACGCACACGCCGTGTCCAGGACAGAATAGCAGTTGTGAATATGACGCCTCTACGCGTGCAAAATAAATACCCCAGATGGATCTGGATGCGGGCTACGCCATCGCTACCTCCGCACTGCAGGGACAGACCACAACCCACCAGTCATTGCACTGACGAATCCTTCGCGTTACTTCAGTCCTGAGCTGCTTGTCAGTCGTGGCTGAAGCATCACGGCAGGGAATGTTACATACGATACGACCCCAGCAACGCGGCGCGGCCGACCACGGGTGCAGCACGCACGAAGGTCTGGCGACGAGCCGTCGACGCCGGCGCAGCGAGCTGCCCGGCGGCGAGATCTCCAGACCAGGGCCGGGGTGACCGCTGCTGGAGCGAGTCCCGGCACCGCTCTCCAGTCCCAGGCCGCCGCGCACCCGGCGCACCAGTCCTCGCTGCCGACACACGCTGAATGATTTGGTTCTGCTCAGTCCAGAACGTTGCGGGTGCCACCTCAGAACACCGCACAGAAGCAGAAGACTTGCTAATCCGGGTGCGGCGCATTGCAAGTCCCGTCTAATCACTGCCCCGAATTCTGGTAGTTCCTGAGATTTGCTCCACTGAACGATCAAGCTCCTCAGAGAACATCTCGCCTTCGTGTTACAAGGCTCGCTGTACCGCCCATTCTTCCGCCGCAAATCGCGCCAGAGCACCTGGACAGCTATCGAACATCTGGACGACGCAACACGCCGCTTTAGTCTAGTCATCGCCACGACACTCATGGTCGAGGGCAGCCACACCTACACGCATACCAACACGCACACCCGTCTTGTAACCAGAAGTTAGCTGTAGACCTGAAAATCACCTCAGAATGTGTGCGAACCTTCACACTCACATTCGCTGTTGACCTCAGCTCCTCCACGCCGGGAGAGACCTCACTTCATTATCCAGCAGCAAGTCACAGGCCTTCACCATTCCAAACATAAGGCACCATCCCAGGCCAAAGAATGCACTTGAAAAGAACGCCACCGTCACCAAATCACTGCCATGACCGCGTGAGGACGTGGCGGGCGCCCGCTGGCAGAGCTCGCTCGAAACCGCCCGCCCATCGGTGAGGACAGCGGCCGCTGCTGTGGAGTGCGCGGCCGTCCAGCCAGGTCGGGCCGGGTCGGGCCGAGCGGGGCGGGGGCGGGAGGCGCTCCCGCAGCTGCCGCCGCCGGCTCTACACCTCGGTGTAGAAACTCGGGCCGCTCGATGCCGATCAGGCGGAACACCAGAGGCGCCGTGTAGATGATGTCGAACCCGACCGCCGCGTACGTCATGAACTTGTAGCTCAGCTCGACGATGACGAACTGGCGCTGGCTGACGTTGGCGCGGCGCAGCGTCACGTCCTGCTGGTTGAGCCGCAGCAAGGCGCACACCGTGGCGTACGACAGGCTCTTGAAGATGGCGCGCGTGGCCAGCACCGAGCTGAGCCCGATCGAGCTGCGCGCCAGCACCTCGCCCCACATCTCGTACGTCGGCCAAATGATCTCGTAGGGCGGCGACGAGGGTGGCCGCGCTGATCAGGTTCTTGCTGTAGTTCATCCAGGCGCCGCTGTAGATCCCCAGTACGACGGCGCAGATGATGACCGTGTCGCCTCTGCCAGGCGGCCGTGGCGTCACGGTCCGGCGGCATCGCGGACGGGCCACAAGGGGAGTGCAGACAACAGGGACCGCACGGAACAGTAGGCGGGAGGTGTCCAAAACCGGCCGCGATCATGCAACGTCTTCAGGATTTCCGGGGGTCTCGGAATCCTTTATCTCATGAAAATTCCCATAGCCTTAGTTTCTAAGGAATGAAGGCAAACCTTCTACTGCAAAAAGGCATTGCGATGCGAATCGCCGCGAGGTCTCATTTTACATGAAGTGCCGTGAGCTATACTAGCGTGCCCAGCAGCTGGCACACGTGACGCACGTAGCGACGTGGACGTGGCGCGCGCACTCTTACCTGGCAGGAGTCCACGTGTTGCCGGCCGGGTACAGGAGCACGGACAGCGCGATGAACACGCTGAGCGTGATGGGCGAGTACGAGTTGGTCACCAGATACTCGTCGACGGCGTCGATGTAAGGCAAGATGAGACCGCAAAGGATGAGCACGCCGAACAGCAGGCCAGCCACCACGTCCTGCCGGGCAGAAGGCGCACGTCACACACGCCCCGCCGGTCAGACGGGCAGGACCGGCACAGCTAACCCGGCGTGGACCGACGCGGAAGGCACGGAGCGAAACACGCGGGAACGAAACAGATAGGTGCAGGTTAGGTTAGGCTAGTTGGACCCAGCGGGGCCGTCGATGGAGACGGTCACTTTACACCGACGGACCACACAGTCGGGCATACACCGGGCCGACGTCGGGGGCGCCAGTGAGGGCGTCACAGACGCCACCGACAGAGGCAGGGACTGCCTAGAACCAGACAGGGCCGACACAGGCAGGGACTGCCTAGAACCAGACAGGGCCGACACAGGCAGGGACTGCCTAGAACCAGACAGGGCCGACACAGGCAGGGACTGCCAAGAACCAGACAGGGCCGACACAGGCAGGGACTGCCTAGAACCAGACAGGGCCGACACAGGCAGGGACTGCCTAGAACCAGACAGGGCCGACACAGGCAGGGACTGCCTAGAACCAGACAGGGCCGACACAGGCAGGGACTGCCTAGAACCAGACAGGGCCGACACAGGCAGGGACTGCCTAGAACCAGACAGGGCCGACACAGGCAGGGACTGCCAAGAACCAGACAGGGCCGACACAGGCAGGGACTGCCTAGAACCAGACAGGGCCGGCACAGGCAGGGACTGCCTAGAACCAGACAGGGCCGACACAGGCAGGGACTGCCTAGAACCAGACAGGGCCGACACAGAGCGAGGCGTGCGGACAGACACTGCCAGTCCAAACAGGTACGGAAAGAGGCAAACAGACGGAATCCCCCTGTTTTCGCACCAAGCACGACCATATAATCAATATTGTTGCGTAAGCTCGGGTGGCTTTCAGTCACAAATACACTTATGTCGCGGCCTCACACTTCTTATGGCCGGGCGACATGAGAATCAAAGTCGATCTACCTCATTACCAGATATGACGCTCATCACCGACACCTTAGCACATGCTGATTGGCTTGTGGCTCCCAGATACGACCGAAGTCTGGAAGGCGAAGGCTTCAGCACTTTATCGGGACTGCATTCAATGGCCTGCCCCCATCGAAAATTGTCTTGTGTGTGTGTGCCATTGGGGCTTTTTACGACGCACTCAGCCGCTGAGGATATACAACATCGCCTGCCTCTCCCCCTTGCAGGAAGGGCAGACACCGCGGGGAAACGAACCCCGTACCTCTGGTTTCCCAGGCGCGCAGTGGTTAACGTAGACGCGCTAACCACTACACTACCGGCGCCACTGTCTTAAAGTGACCGACACGCTTCAAATACATGAATAAGTGACCCAATAGAGTACCAATAAACAAATGAGTGAATAGAGTCTCTGCATCGTCACGATCCACACAAACTAGAACGGCTCGGGTAGGGTTGGAGCAGTTCGATATCTGTCTGCTTGCTGAGATCGTCTCACAGATTTGCTGGCGCAGAACATATGTGCAAAACTTTAAGTAATAGGGGAGAGTTTGTTCTGCTTTTCTGACAGATTCTGCCCCATGACAAGAGCTGACGATCACGGCAATATTATATTGCAGCTTGTCTCGAAACCATCTAGATGGCACGTCATCATGAAAGCATGCGCTCGATTCAGCTAAGCTTTTCCCCGAAATTATGTTTAGTGTAAACTGCATACCATACATGCGAGTTACTACAGCTTACAACTCCGCATACCGCGATCATGTGCAGGAAGAACAGATTTACATAAATTATTGCCACTGACGAACTAACTTGCCACGTGTCAGTGCATGCGCCCAGCAAGGTTACCTCGACGCTGCAGCATTACATCCGAGTCGAGTCGAGACATCATACTGTAATGAGTCAACATTACATCCGAGTCGAGCGCATCGGAGCCGTGCCGGCCGGTCTGCGCGGGCAAGGTGTAGCGGCGCGCTGCGGCCGACCCAGCCGCACGCGGCGGCCCGGCTCCGCGGCACGCAGCGCGCGGCGCGGCCCTCGCCGCCTTTTCCAGTCACGCGGGCACCACGTGTTCGTCGGCCGCCGGCCGGACCGGTTCGGCGCGCCCGTGCAGGTCGGGCATGCACATAACCGCGTCTCATCACGGATGTGCAAGCGGGCCTCGTGAGTCACGGACGGGTAACCTTACGTCGGACTGGTAACTGGGAGGCCTGGCAACGCTTGGAACACCCGCCGGACGCGGTGCCGCACCCCGCCACCAGTCACGGCGGCCAGGCACCACGGCAAGCACCGGTCACGGCGGCCAGGCACCACGGCAAGCACCGGTCACGGCGGCCAGGCACCACGGCAAGCACCGGTCACGGCGGCCAGGCACCACGGCAAGCACCGGTCACGGCGGCGGCACGCGAGGCCACCTGGGGCGGCCCACGTCTGCGCGCCAGCGCGCACAAAAGCACACCGCATTTGCATAATCCTGCTCATAACACGTGCAACGCATCCGTACCCTGCGAGCGGACGCCGGCGTTACACAGATGCGACCTGTCCGCGCGGTGTTCTGGCAGCGGGGTTCAAGGTCTGTGTGTCGGGCACACCGTGCAGACCCATGACCCGCCACCGTATGTTTTGCCAACACAACCGCCGGCCTTTGAGGCCGAGACGCACGGGATCATACGTGTTAAGTCCATCGGCGGTGCCCGCTTTTCCTGCCAGGGTGAGAGGCAGGCGACACCATACACGCTCAGCAGTTGAGTGCATTGTAAAGTCACAATAGTGATGATGATCATGCTTAAGTTCAGTAAATTCCTCCCGTGACAAA